ACATACAGACAAACAGAGACAGAGATCAGAGACAGAGACAGACAAACAGATAGACACACAGGCACCCAGAAAAACTCCGAGACAGAGACATAGACACAAAGGCAAAGAATGAGAGAGAGAAGGAAAGACAGAGAGAGAGAGAGAGACAGCAATGCATCGCTGAAGGGGGAAAATTCACCACACACCTTCGTCAAATCTATTTACTTAAAGGAAAGAAAAATAAGCAAAGAAAAAAGGACAGCAAAGAAAAACCAACAATAACTCAAACTCACAATATCGAAATCCAATCATACATCCTACACCTCAAAAAATACGAAAAAAAGGAAAAATACTCATGGCAGAATATCCAGAAAAGAACCATCGGCTCCGTTCTCTCCCATTGTTTACATTACGCAGCTGATGGGAGTTTCGTCATTAAGAACTTTTCCTTCTTTATCATTTTCTGTTCTTTGTTCTTCCACATAACAGTGAGACAGTGAGTAATTTGTCCAGGGGAGTGTCATTCGGACCCGATATAAGGCGTATGGTTGAAATAATCGTTGAAATCGGCCTTTGTTTAGGGTTTAAAAAGGGAGATATTTACCCAAGTTCGCGTTCTTGGTGTTATTATTCCGTAAATTGCTCTTTGTTTACGGGATCGATGATCTAAGATGATTGTGTAATTGCCCCGGAGTGTCTGAGTGGGTGTCAGTTATGGCGAGTGAATGACAGATCAGCCCCGTTTTTGTCTGTTTTTGTCTTGAGGGAAAGAAAATGGGTGTCATGTTTGTGTTTTTTTTTTTTTTTTTTTTTTTTTTTTTTTTTTTTGCGGTGATGTGAAAGTATCATTTGCCTGTGGATGTTATTTATATTTTCGTTAAATGTTCCTTAATTAGAGCATAGTGAATTTATCATTAAGGGAAATGAGTTATTATTGCTTTGGTAAAGAAAGTACTGACACCATGCTCATGTTTCCCCTATTATTGTGTTTCTCAATAGTAATGATATGAATTTATAATCCTGCTTAAATTGTCAATATTCCTTTCTTGTATGCTTGTGTCATCACCATTACTTACAAACATAAAGGGTAGTTGTCAATTTGTTATGTGCATTATATACTAAGTTGAGTATTGTCTCCTCCCACCAGGTGTCACCCACAAGATAAGCAGAATTTTAGACTAATATTGTGAAGAATTCTAAATACTTCTCAACTGTGTTATTTCTGTAGCCTGAATATTACCAAGGGTATTATCTAAGAGCTTGCATAATGGTATGGTGGTTTATTTGTAACTGATGTAAGTTTTGTAAATATAGATGACATGTAATATAGCTGGTTTACATTTGTAACAAAAGCATTTTACTTAACACCAGCAAATGAAATCTAGAAGGTAGGCAGTTAAAGGTCTTCCCTGGTTTCAAAATCATGAAAAGGAGTTAAAAACTTAAGTGGATTTAGCAGAGTTTAAGTTTAAAAACTTAAGTGGATTTAGCAGAGTTTAAGTTTGTTTAGTCACGTTATGACAGTGGGATATGCTGAGTGTGTCGTTACTGTTGTGTGCTCAAGGTTGGCATTATCTTTTGAGAAGAAAGGGGATAAGGCCAAAGGAATGAAAATTCCAGTTTTGTGTCTGGGCAAAAGCGAAACTGATGGGGCTTTTTTTCATTACTCTTTATTCTTTATTTTTCTCTACAACAGTTTTTCAGTGTCATCCAATCATCTTTCTAGTTCTTCTGGGTAATCATAACATTTTTCTTTCATCTTTACTAGTAAAAGTTTTCTCTCTAAAAAGCTTGACAAGAGAACAGCTTTTCAAAGTTGTCAAATCATATTTTTTAGGGAATAATGAAATTTACTGAAAAAAAAAAAAAAAAAAAATTGGTGGGTGTTGTTGGGACGTGCGGGGGTTGGACTCAAAACAGAGTTGAACGGAGTTGAAAGGAGGAACTAGTTGGCAGTTGATAGAGGTCAGGGGTTGGTTTGGCTTGCTGACTGTTAGTTGTCAGGTGTTAGAATATTGGCATTGAGTCTTGATGTGACATGACCAAAAATGGCTATTATGTAAAGTATTCAGATAGGGGCCAAAGCTACTAGGAAGCAGTAGTCAATAATACTGTTGATAGTTGTTAACAGAACCTGAGCTAGACAAAACAGTTATAGATTTTGTGTTTTATAATTCAGTTTACATTTTCTATGTTTTAGTAATGAGTTACATATCCCTACCTTCCAAAACAGTAAGGAGTAGATTTACTGTCATAACAAATATTGGGGGGAAAGAGGAATTTAGCAGATGTAACAGGAAACTCAGAATTACATGGCCAGATTGTAGAAAAATAGATAGTGTAATAATCCTTAAATTTGAATAGTGTTTTATGGCTAAATCCATCACCTGTTGCTGGTAGGTTTGAATTTGTACAGAATGAATTCATGAATCTATAGTGTTGTAGAAATTACACTTTGCAAGGAAATTTTGTAGCACACAATTTCATTTTAAGTTCGTAAGAATGAGACACATGATAAAAGTTATTTTAACACTTTGCTTATGGGCACAGCTATAACCATCATGGAAAGTCTACCCTTCATGATGGTCACGAGTATACATGTCATGACTTGCTCTAGTGAGTGGGAAGGGTGAGCTCTATGAATGCCCTGTCGGAAAGGCTAGATGGTTGCCAGTAATCACTGGAATAAGTGTCATACAGAAATTTATGGTACCATCAATGTAGGGTTAAACCAGGTCCAGGTTTATTTTTGATGCGATATTACTTAATAGTCTAGACTCTATGACTAGGCCTAAGCTGTGGAAAGTTGGTCTGCCTGCGAGTCACAATCCGTATATGCATCATAGACTCTAACTGAAGGGTTAATTTGGTGTGTCATCTTAAAGTAGGGCATGATCTACCTCACTGTTTACACGTCAGATGTATTCATAAGCCTCTCCATATGTAGCTACGTAAGAATAATGTTACCTCTTGATACTTACTTCCCTTTTGCTTCCAGTTGTGAATAATGTCATTGCTGACTAATCCGAGGACCCCCTGCTTACCCTTGTGACCGTCAGCATTCTGAGCAGGTTGTCAGGATGAGGGGACACATGTGGATTTTCATCACCACAGGTTGGTTTTGGGATTTTAAGGTGCATTTTGGTATATATCAGTTATGTTTAAAGTTATCGGTTGATGGAGTGTAGTGTTGTGCTGTGCTAGGTATATGTACTGCCTACTGTAGTTTTCTTTTCTAAAGTGTAAAATTGAAATTATATATTATTAAGTGTGTTCACCATGATGAAAGCCTGTCAAAAAATAGTGTTTTATTTTTATCATCAATTAGATGTAGCAGGTTGAGTAAAATAACTGGTACTGTTTGCCAAATTTGCTCCAGCCACACCTACAATATAACTCCTATGCCTACATTCCCCTTGAAGACCCTAAGCCTTTCCATACATTTTCCTGCCTCTTTCTTTTTATGAATGGACTGAAGTGAGAATGAATTAATATTCTTGGTATCCTGAGGTATATTTGACCTAGCTTATGAAATGCCAGTAACTGAAAGAAACATGTGTGAAACTTGAAAATATCAATGTCTTTAGCAGCTAGGAAGACAGACAAGAAGAGGACATGTAATTCTTGGGATTTAAGATTATTCAGCTTGAAAGGCCTTCCATAGTTTCATTGTGTGAGGTTATTATTTTCATTGTTACCAGTGTTGTTGGACACGGTGGTGGTGAGGGCAAATATCCACGATGTCCTGGTGAACGAGGTTGCCTGCAGGGGGGGTCCAGCCCACTTCAACAGAACCACAGGCACCATCACATCACCCTTGCCTCCCCGAGCTCCACCTGCTCATGTCAACTGCTCTTGGATTCTTCATAACCCTTATCAAGATTACATTATATTAAGGTGAGCCATTTCGATGCTTGTGGGTTGTTTTGATTACTTGGAACTATTAGATTTTGTTACAGCACAGGTGTATCTTTTCCATTTTTTTTATTACATATATTTCTTCATTGTTGCTTGCATTTCTTGCTATATAGTTTCGTACCATATTTTAAGATGGAAATATGATATTAGATTTGATTTCCGCAGTTTTAGCATGTTTGACTTGGACCAAGACAACCAGTGTGGTAAAAAGTCACAAGACTGCTGTCCTCACCAATGGATAATGCTAAGGACAGAGAAGCATGGCATAAAGAAACGGAGAGACATCTTCAGCAAAGTCACAAATGGTAGGAGGAAGAACAGAGAGTCGGTGGAAGACAGTTTCAAGAGAAGTATACAGAGTCACAAGTTACTCAAGGGCCACCTCTTTAAGGACATGGATAGGATGAGCAGAAGGCGTCTTATCAACCGACAGCTAACTCTCAGAAGCAGGAAACGCACTAATGACACAGCTGCGAGTAACCAGACCTCGCCTCATCGCCTTAACCAATCGCGCACTTCATACAAAACTTCTGAGATGCTCACAACAGGTCACGTGTGTGGGAACTCGACTCCGTGGCCTATTATAACCAGATCTCCAAAGGTGGTTGTGAAATTCTCCTCGGATTTGAAAGTGCGACGTGGTCACCTGGGTTTCAAACTACAGTTTTTCATAAGTGAGTTCAGTATTATAGCTTCATTTGTATTTTGCCTTTTTTGTTTTGTTTATGATGTGTGTGAGACCAGTATTAAAAGATAGATTAACTTGTTAATATCCAGCATAATGATTTATAATCTTTCATCCCTTAGGTAATAAAACTGTCTGCCGAAAAGATGAGTTCCAGTGCTCAGACCCCAAGATCTGCTTACCCAATGCTTGGAAGTGTAATGGTCAGGCTGAGTGCCCAGATTCGTCAGATGAGGAAAATTGCAAAGGTGTGGTAGGAATAAATGTTCTTGTTGTAATATCTAACTGTTAATGTGTTCATGAAGAATGTTTTTAATGTGCGTTGATACTGGTAATTACAGTGACCTGAATTGCCTATTAAAAAGTACAATTAACCTAAATTGCAACGGTAAATGACTATGCATTTTGTTGTATTGTGAATGATCATTGTATTTCTTTGGAAAAAGCTTCAGCTGGATTGTGATGAGAACTCACTGGCAGGTTATCTTTTTTACATCAGCAGTCAAAGAGGTTGGATTTTAATATAACAGGTTTTGAAAATGTTTAGAGTGAGTTCATACTGTACTAAAAAGGAGAACCTCTAGTGATAAGTTTGTCATGTCCATTTTTGTTTCAGCTGGTTGTCCTGGGTTGCGGGACGAGCAGCACTGTGATGGGCGGTGGCACTGTGCCAAGGGGGAGGATGAGCTTGGTTGCTTTGGTAAGTATGAATGGTGTTGTTTTTGCTTGTAAAGATGTAGGAGGCAAGAGGTAAAGGGAGAAAAAAAGGGTGAAGAGAGAGAATTGAAAGTCAAGGAAAGGTGAAAGTGAAGAAAGAAAATGTAAATAAGAAAATGAGTTATAAGAAAAGAACAAGAGAAAGAAGGAACGAAAATTTAAGTATTACATTGAATAAGGCCTTTGTCAATTATTCTGTTACTTGGTGAATAGTATTCAGTATGAGAGGAATGCTCCTCAATATTCTCAGAAAGTCTTTGAGAGCTTAAACAGATTGTAGAAGAGTATGTTTAGCATAATGCATATATAATTTGCATATGATTTTGTTGTAAATGAGATTTGTAGCAGATTGGCTGAAATGATAAGGGCAGTTTAAGCCCAGTACCACTACTAGACTCAGTCCTTTTCCATGAGCTGCTGCTGATTACCAAATCTCACTTATTAGTTACATTGCAATTGCTCTTTTCTGGGCTTAGTGTGTCTAGGCTGGCTTCAAAATGTTTGAATGATGTTTTAGCTATACAGTAATTTTAACGAACATTTAGGATGATATTAGACTAAATTCTCATTACCTGCAAAATAATGAGCAGGATTAGGTTGATTTCTCTTAGCCTGGCTATCCCAATGCCCCAAGTAAGTGCCCAGGCCTGGCCAAAGAGTGGTCTTCCCTGATTTGAATGTTCCCAGAGTCGGGTAAAGCCAGTGGAACCCCTGCTTTACTGTGGATTTTAATTGGTGTAAATAAGAGTATGTGCTGAGAAAGTTTTAATTGTAGAAAAGAAGTACTTTTCAAAGGCCTGTTTCTTAGATCCTCTTGCAAGTCATGTGTGGTATCCCTTCATTTATGTTTCTATCAATATTTTTGTCATGATTTTGAATGCACACCATTCTCTTTATAGGGTGTGATGCAGATGAGTGGTGGTGTGGGGAAGGGACAGACTGCTACAAGGCTTCTAGGCGTTGTAATGGCATAGCGGACTGTCGCAACAAGGCCGATGAAATCTACTGCAGTAAGTTTTGTGTGTCTGATTATATATATATATATATATATATATATATATTATATTATATATATATATATATATTTTTTTTTTCTTTTTTTTTTTTTCTTTCTTTCTTTCTTTCTTTCTTTCTTTCTTTCTTTCTGTGCAGAGTGTAAGGATTTCTAGCTTTTTAGTATTGTTGTATGAAAGTCTGATATGATTTTGATTGTTTTGAGATTGTTCAATTGAAGAAATAGGTAATGTTTCAGATTTATTTCCTTTGTAGAAATATACCTAGATTTGTCTAAAGAAATTTTGAAAAAGCTTCAGCATTTTTAGATTTGGTGCATAAACCGACCTTTCTTACACAGGTTGCCTCTTCAATCAGACGCAGTGTTCACCAAATTCTGAATTTTGTTATGACCCAAACTCAGCGTTGTGACGGAATCTTGCACTGCCCAGGAGGAGAAGACGAAATTGGCTGTGGTAAGCAAACAAGTCGATCAGTCTGTTGCTTTATTGTTTATGTTATGAGTAGTTTTATTGCATTCAGTCTGTTGTGGGGTTGCATATAATTTAAATGTTATTATCATTTCTGCCCTGGGGGTTATATTTTTGCTGGCATTTATTGCTTTGCCAGTAGGATTATAGGAAAGGTTATTGACAGATTGTGAAGAATTAGCATTTTTTTCTTTGAGATATATATATTTTCTTTATTAGAAAGTACCTGAATGATTGATTATGGCCCTGTGCTCTTGATTATTCAAATGATATGCTTTTCATTGTTTTTTATAATTAGTATTCATGGATGAATATGTCTAATTCAATGGATAACCAACTGTTGTAATTCCCCTGCAGTTTTTAGACACTTTAGCTAATGGTTTACAATTACTAGGTGTTTTCAGAATGATCTTTTACATCTCCAGGACAGTGTATGCAAAATATAAGCTGTGGTGGAGGAGGTGGCTGTTACACGCCCGCACAGAGGTGTGATGGGGCGTCACAGTGCGGGGATGGCTCAGACGAAGCTTCTTGCACTCCGCAGCTGTGCCATCCACAGGTGAAGCTCTTTTTGATTTTTTTTGTAGCGGTTTTATAGAATTATGCATTATTTTATTGTTTGGTGGAGGGATTATTCTTTTTAATTCATTGATGATGAGTTTGTGTTCTTTCTAATGATTATGCTTTACTAATTAATTTGCAGATAGATGGTTCTGCAGTTGCAAGGAATGCTGTTTCACACTTTTTTATCCAGTGATGTTAATTTTTGCAATTTTTGAATTTTGAATTGTTGTTGCTATTATTATTATAGTTAGTAAAAAAACTTTTTTCCACTTAAATTCATGAAATGTGCTAAATACTTCAGATCAAGTAGGCATGGTAATTGACTTCTTGATCACTAAATGCCTTTGGGGCTGTTTGTGTGTAAAACAGAGATAGTGAATAGTGAAAGAAAAAAAAAAAACATTGCGGACACTATTTAAATATACATGCATTCCTGGTGTCAGTGGGTAATTGTTCAGTAGAATCATGTGGAATTTAGTTGTTTTTCAGTTGCATTTGTAGTTTTTTGGATATACGCTAAACATAAAAAATTGTGTGATCTTGAATGACGATTCTATGCAATTTTTGTATTTGTATTTCTTGGTGTATGTTGTGTGATCAGGAAATCTATGTAAATGATTTATATGAGAATTAGTAATGAAGTGAAGTTTGTGGTTTGAAAAGATTATAGGAATGGGAGTAGAAAACACTTAATATGTGATATGTTGCTGGGATTCTCCTAATTGTCCAGTTATCCTTCTTACAGCATGGTGCCTTTTTGTGCGCAAACCGGCGCTGCATTCGCGAAGCCTGGAGGTGTGACCAGTTCAATGACTGTGGGGATGCCAGTGACGAGGAAGATTGCCACAGAGTACGTTATTGGGATTTTGTGTTTATTATTTTTTTATTTCAGGATTTCATCTATGTGAATATATTATATATAATATATATAATATATATATATATATATATATATATAATATATATATTATATATATATTATATATATATATATATATTATATATATATATATATATATATATATATATACTATTATATATATATATATTATATTTTTTTTTTTTTTTTTTTTTTTTTTTTTTTTTCCTCTCTTATCTTTCTTTCTTTCTTTCTTTTCTTTCTTTCTTTCTTTCTTTCTTTCTTTCTTTCTTCTTTTCTTTCTTTCTTTCTTTCTTTCTTTCTTTCTTTTCTTTCTTTCTTTCTTTCTTTCTTCTTCTTTCTTTCTCAGTAGGGTATTGGGGTTGGTCTTTTGTCTGTCAGTGGGTCTTGATATGGGGTGTATAAAAGGAATGGATATGTGTTATCAGTTTATAGATAGTAGGTCCTTGATGTGAGGATGTAAACTGGTCAGGGGTTTAATGCCATGTGATTTTTATGCTTGGAATTGAATTTTACAGGTCAAAGAATATGTAGATATGGACATTATATATATTGGTTTCTTTCTCCTTGTGTTTTAAGCAAAGCAAATATGTTATGGTGTTATATACACAGTCAGAATTATAAGAAGATCAAGGGTCTTGCACAGGTTTTGCATGTAAATGGATGTGTGATATAGGAATTATTTTTGTGTGCATTGAAGAGTCCAAAGGATGATATGCAAAATTCCAGCACTTGATTAGAAAGTCTTCAAATGAATATTTCATTATTTAGATGACATGACAGGTCAATTGAAAATTTTGATTTTGTATGATTTCATGATGTAAAAGCTCAAATAAAAACAAGAAAATAGCATTTGAAATTATTGTCTTCACGAAAAAGTACAATTGGTAATTTCAGGAACCATTTTTTTTTCTTCAGAATTCAGTGATTGTGGCTGCTGCTATGGGAGGTTTGGTATGTTCCCTGCTCTTAGTAATTGCCGTGGGCTGCACGTGTAGGCTGTATGCTCTGCGTGTAGGTCTCGGACGTCAGCACAGTTACCAGGGTGGTCGGCGCTCTACTCAGCTTGCCCCTCTGTCTCGACTTGAGCAGCACCTTCTTCAGAGGGAACCACCACCATCCTACTCCGTGGCCATCAATGATCCATCTACATCGTTAGTGATTTATACCTTTATTTCCATTTTACAACTTATTGTTTGTTTGGATTTGGTGGTGAGGACTGAATGAATTTTAGTTGGCCAAGAGTGCAGTTGAGGAAAAGGAAATTAAGGGTTTTAGGTGAACAGATAAAGATTTCCAAAAGAGTCACTGCATGGGAAGTCACAGCATTTGTGTCACAGCACTTAGGAAATGTGCTTATTTCTGCTAGAACAATAATTTTTGTCTGCCTTTTCCCTTCATCCTTGATCTTATAATTTCAGATTTTTTCATTAGTAAACCTTTTGCATCTTTTAATTTTCTCTCGATTTTATTTTTCTTTGAGGCTTTGTCTCTCAGAACTTGGGCTTCTAATTCAGAAATAAGAATTCAGGCAGGAATTTCACTCTTTGGAGAGCTCCAATATCTTAGTAATGAGGGGAGTCAGAACTGAGGTGTTCCGTGACCAAACCTGGCTCTGTATTTTGGGCGGCAATGGGAATCTAATGTATAAGTCCTAGCAGTACGATTTCAATATAATCATTATGCTTTCAATCAATGTATGGTATACAACTGTATGATATTGCACTGGTACTTTTTAGTTGTTATTTTGTTTGTGATAGTTTTATTAATTTTCTGATGAAAGAAGAAATCACATGTGTGTCCCTTTTTGATGAGGCGGTGAGTGTTGTAAGTTAACCCAAATTTGCTTCCCTCAGGTTGTGGACACTGAGCAGACAGTGGAGGAGGCACCGGCGCTGTGCCCCCGCCCCCCCGGATGGCCTGGTGCCTGGCATGCCTGTGGCAGTGAGAGGCAGACTGGCACCCAATCCCCCGTGCCATCGTGATCCAGGCTCAGGCCAGTTGCCAGCCCCAAGTCAACTCTCAGGTACATCTCGGGGTGTGGGTAATGGTATTAAAACAAGGGTAGAATTTCTTGTTGATTATGGTCAGAAGTTGTGGTTTAAGGATGTTTGGTGAAAGATTACGAGAATTGAATGGGATTATTCATGGGGTATGGTGTATGGGCTATATGTTTATTGTCCATAAGGTATCAAAACAGTGTGTTGGGTCATGAAACTTGGTTGGAATTTTTTTTTTTGATTTATTTAATTATTATCTAATGTATACAATACACATGTTCAAGGATGTACAGTTGCAAAGATTTCCAGCTGGTAAACCACAAGTCTGGAGGTGACAATTTTTATCTGGCTATACATGTGTAGTATGTAGTATTCTGTGAGCGAGTGATGTAGATCTGTAATGATGACTGTGATAGGTTAAAATGATTTTACAAATATCTACAGCAGGAAGGAAATCCGACTGAGAAAATTACATCAGAATGTCAAAACTTAAGAACAAGATTACCTTATCTGCAACAGATGTGCCAGAAAAAAACAATAATTCATAGATCTGACAACTGTGTCTAAGCAATGCTTGCCACCTACAGTTTAATGAATGAAACAGTAGAAGTGTTTTTATTTTCAGTAAGTAAAACTATTCATGATGTGCATATACTATTTTTTTTAGATTTATGAAAGTTAACAATTGAACTTTGGAAAGGTACAAATGGATTTTTATTTGGTGTGAAAAAATATTCGAAATGTGTCTAATTTTCCAGCCTCGAAGTTTCTTGTCTCACACAAGCACATGCACTCACACAGCACCCATACCCACAGGCACACGTCACACACTCGCATGTACATGCAGTGCACTTGCATGCATGCGCTTGCACGTGCACACACGCGGCTCACACACATACTCACACGCACACATACACACATACACACACACTCACGTGCACTTACACTCACACTCCTCACGCTCACGCTCACACTTGCACACCCACCTGCACAGGACACACACACACACACCACACACACACACACACACACACACCACACACACACACACACACACACACACACACACGCGCACACACGCACATGCACACACGCACACGCGCACACACGCACACAACGCGCACAACACACACACACGCACACACACACAGCGCACACACACACGCGCGCGCACACACACGCGCACACACGCACACACACACACACACACACACACACACACACACACACACACACACACACACACACACACACACACACACACACACACACACACACACACACACACACTCACACTCACACTCACACTCACACACACATATATATAAAAAAGATACAAGCTAATCCTGTCCTTGTTTCCTGTACCCTCCCAGGAACAGGAGGGCGGAGAAACAGCAGGAGCAGTGACGAGAAGGAGAGCGAAGAGGAGGGCAAAGTTAACGCAGGCCTCTCAGTGCCCGTTGAAAGACAGGTCAGTGTAGAGCGAGACATAAAGTTGCGATGCTTTGTCGGATATTTGGCATGTGGACTTTAGTTTTAGTTGTGTTTGTTTCATATATTTTCTATTAGGTGATTTAGTGTATGAGTGTAAAAGAGAGTGAGTGAAGAGTATGAGTGAGTGAAGAGTATGAGTGAGTGAATGAATGAATGAATGAATGAATGAATGAATGAATGAATGAATGAATGAATGAATGAATGAATGAATGAATGAATGAATGAATGAATGAATGAATGAATGATTGAGTGAGTGAGTGAGTGTGTAAGTGAGTGAAAGAGGTAATTAGACAAGACAGGTGAAGTTAGTTTTATACAACTCTAAAGGAAGATGTCCCCAATTACCTGCAGGTAACACTGAGTGATAGAAACGAAAGAAGACGTCCCACTCCTTTCAGCCATAGGGGACACAGATGATGAGGATATGACAGAACGGGAAGATGTGAGATTGTTAGATGCATCAGCGGAATCCGAAGAATCAGGTATAGTAATCGACTCAAGTCTTAGCTGGAATAATGGCATCATGGTAATATAAAATAGGAGGTTAAGAAAAATTATGTGGGAAAATATATAAGATTATTAACTCTGCTGGATATGTAAAGATTTTAGTATTTTACAAGAGTTTGAAAGCAAATTAATTTTGATGCTGTATTGTTTACAACATATGACTGTCAAACTATTACATTTCTGCATTTCATGCATCTCCTTCTGTAGATGGTGAAGGCACGGAAAGTGAAGAAAGTGATAATTGTTCAACTGACACCTCAGTTGTAGAAGCAGAGGTGATGTCCGAAGAAGAGAGTGATTCCGAAGCAGAGACTGGACCTGCGGAATCGGCGCAGCAAGAGGATGCATGTGCAAACAAAAATTCCAAGGAGGAGGAGGAGGAAGAGGATGACCAACTTCTTGAGATAGAGAATGATGCTCAGCCATTGTCAGGTAGTGACAACGAAGATGAGGATGATGGTGATGTCATGATGGACACGAGGGCGGCTGTATTGGCACTAAGTTTGGTCCAGCAACATACCAACGGAATCAGTCAAGTTGACACAGAGCTCATCTCACAGTGATAGGTTGTGTGGTGAATAGAGGTTTGATATTGTTTCGTATCATAACTAGCACTCACAAAGGAAATGAAGATTGATAATATATTTTTTTTTTACAGTATTTTTTTTACAGTTGTAGTGGAGGAGAAGAAAAGCATTAAGTAATGGTATATCTTCATCATGACGATGAAGGCAGTTTTGTCAGATTCATATTGAAAAACATACCAAAACCAAAACAACTGTAACTGAATCAAAGACCTCTACAGGTAAATGGTATCCGAACCTATGTTTTGTAGGCAGGTAACCACAAGACAGACGTTATAGGAGAATATCTGTCTTGCAGTTACCTACCTGCAAAACTTAAGATTTGAATCCTGGTTGAGGAGAGTTATGTAGGTAAATGGTAATGGAATACAGTCAGATATGTCATTGTCACAAATATGCAAACTAATTACCATGTATTATGCAGATTGTGTTTCTCTGTGGAGTATAATTCTTAATTTTCTTACTCCCAGTGTGGTACAACAGTTCCCCAGTTTGATGCCCTCAGTGCATTCAAGTCTTGGTATTGTTCTAACAGCTTTAGATCCTTAGTCTTTGTAAAGATCTGAATCAAGGTGTTTGATAGTATTTTGTGTATTTTGCCTTGTGATTTGGTATTCACGTAGGTGGTTTTTAGGTTTTTGGCATTGGCTGGTCCTATGTGATGAAGCGTTGATCTGGATTTTTCGTGTAAGTAATCGTAAGACAAATGTTGTTCTTCTGTTCTCGAGTAAACAGGATTATCTGTGATTGATACGTAATAAAATGGGGGAGTAAAAGGGACACAGCATATTGTGACTGATCATGATGAGGTACATCTTGAAACACATAACTGCCGTTAATAACTTTTCCTTGTGAATTTTTTTTTTGCCTCATAGGAATCACTGTGAAGGCTAGAGAATTTTGACACTAGGGTCTTTTGGCAAGTGTGTTGCATTTTTTGGAAAGTGGAAGGAATGAAGTAATTCACGGAAAATAATTTGCTTTGGGTTGTGAGGCCATTGGAAATATTAAGGGAAATAAGTCTCCCTCTTTTATTTATTATATTCACTCTCCCCCCTTTACCCTTGTCATGTATTCGTATTTATTTGTTAAAGCAGTAGTTGTAAGGCAGTTTTGATTGTGATCACAATTTAAGAGTATTTTACATAAATCTATTGTTAATGTATTTGAAGCAGTTACTTGTATTTTTGTTTATTGGAGTTTCATATTTTATTGTTATTTTTGTATTGTTATTGATTATAGTTTTTCCAAGAATCTTGAGTTACTCAATTTGATATTATTAGAAGTTGTACATATTAATCGTTGTATCTACAAGCTTTATTTTATGTAGCATGTATTATTGTATATTATGTTTTGCTTATTGCATAATCCTTCTTCTTAGGTAGCATTTTCCCACTTCGGAGAAAAGGAAAACAACCTTGAAAGTTGAAAGGTCGTTATGGCTTCAAAATAAGTGAGAGTGTCAGAAATGTCACAAGTAATGTAAGACGTTAGTAGATTTATGTTTCATCGAATGTCACTCGGGCGTCAACTAACCTGGCAAAGGAACACGTTCGGGTCTCGTATTTGTCACAAATATTTTTCACTAGCTCTCCCCCCGGAAATAAAAGATGGAAGCTGAAAAATAGACAAGAAAAGGTCACAGTGAAAGGTCCCCCTTGTGTTTTTGACTTCTAGTCATTATGTAACTAACAATAAAGAGCCTTAACTATTAGGGTGATTATGACTGACTATATAAGCGAATGGTTGCTTTTATGCTTCAGTTGTATCTTAGCCAGTGTCTTCTTTATGGCGTATATTAGTATTACAGTTGATTTTATCCTCTGCTTTAGAGTTTAATTGTAATACTTTAACTTAGGCAAGACGAATTACAGAAGCAAGTCAAAGGCTTCGTCGAAAGTTCGGTGTAAAAGGTTTACAATTTGTGGTAAGATTTAGAAGGATTTTTTTTGTATTTTTTGTTTTGTTTCGAGTTCAAGGATTGTGTTTCTTGTTCTTCTGAGTTATGGGATGTTTTATAATCTTTCAATTTTTTTCTGCAGCTAAGATTACGTTTCTTTCAGGAATTCAAGTGCAGCTGTTATGATGATTTTTACTCTTTATATTGATGTTGTTTGTATTGCTTTTATTATCATTATTATTGTTGTTGCTATTATTATTATTATTATATTATTATTATTATTATTATTATTATTATTATTATTATTATTATTATTATATTATTTATTATTATTATATTATTATGATCATTGTTATTGATGTTATCGTCATAATCATCATTATTATATTATCAAGGTTATCATCATTATTATCACTTTTACCAAACATTATTATCATCATCAATTTTATTATTCTTTTTATCAATATCTCTCGCAATATGCATCTGTGTATATAGGGTAGTCTTATCTTTATGGCTTATCATTCTCTGTACTTTTACACAAGTCTTTTATATAGCCTTGAAGTAAATTTATTGCCTCTTATTTACACAACTCATGTGCCTCTTCTATGGCTTGGTACAAGGGGAGTGTGTAAGTCGTCTACTGAAAGGAAAGATGGTGTTCGTTCAGTATAAACCTCGTGCCTGATTTTTTTTTGTTTTCAAGGTTGATATTGTTAGTATAACCCTTATAGCCGTTTTTTTAAATGTTTTTTTTCTTTCTTGAGGATGAATATGTTGTTTATAGATTTCATTTTTGCTCTTTTTTTTTATTTTTCCTTTTTTAAGATGAATATTGTTGGTTAAACCTTATCCTGTTTTCTCTCTCTCTTTTTCTAGATGAATATTGTCAATATAAACCTCATGCCTGTTTTTTTTATTAAAGATAGATATTATTAATATAAACTTTGTGCACTTTTTTAAAAGATAAATTTTGTCAGTATGAACCTCATACCTTTTTTTATTGTCAGTATAAACCTCATGCCTTTTTTTTCTTTTCTTTTTTATTGTTAGTATAAACCTCATGCCTTTTTTCTTTCTTTTTTATTGTTAGTATAAACCTCATGCCTTTTTATCACATCATCTCAACTCTCTCTTGGATAACTGTGGTGCATTCTGAAAGATTGTCATGGCCTTTTGAATATATATATATATTTCTTGATGTCATTTGTAGTGGGTTGGTAGTTGATTTTTTTTTTAGCTTTGGAGAAGTTATACTGCTTGTTTTATTATCTTTATATAGGGTTGAAGGGAAGTCATATAAAACAAAAGAATTTTTGATATACTTTTCGAAACTGGTTTGGACACATGAAGTGAAACACAATGAGGTGTATGCACTTATATAACCTTGCATTCAGGAATTTTGACACAGTCTGAAGTTTATTGAATATGATTTTGTAAATATTGTCTCTGTCTGTCTCTGTCTCTCTCACACATATGCTCTCCCTCTCCCTTGCACTCTCACTCTCACTCCCACTCTGACCCTAATTGACTCTGACTCCCACTTTCACTCCTGCTCCAACTCTCACTCCCCCTCCCACTCTTACTCTCACTCCCCCTTCCACTCTTACTCTCACTCCCCCTCCCACTCTTACTCTCACTCCCCCTCCCACTCTTACTCTCACACTCCATTCCCGCTTCCACTCTCACTTAGGTATCATTTCCCTCGCTCACGTATCCTCATGGTGGGCAAAGAGGCATTGATTTCTGTATAGCATTTTAATTTTTTTTTTTCTTTTTTGTAATCTTCACCTTTAAAGGCAAGGGGCAGATGTAAAGAGCTTGCAAAATCACAAAATGCCTAAAGCAAGTAAGTAAAAGTAAGCTTTGGTGTTGCTCACTCTTGTCACTCTTTGTCACATTTCACACGGAGAGCCTGAAAACAATTTATTTTTTTGCCTTTGATGACTTTTGAGATTTAAAAAATAAAAAATAAAATAAAAGACAGTGGCAATAAGTGTTGATAACATCTCACCTGAGCACTATATTAATGCTTAGTACTTGATGCACTGTATGTGTGTGTGAACACTTCACCACACACACTACTACTACTATTATTACTACTGCCAGGTTGATATCTGTGGTTTGCAGTTTTCCCAATTGCCAGCGGCACCAATTTCACTCCTTGGATTTCAAGTCCATAATCTTGCTATTGACACAAAATCAAGCTTCAGTCAGTCAGGCGCATGCACACGATTGTAATAAAAGTGAGTTGATGTTGCACTGTATTGCAGTATTACAATTGCAGGAGAGCAGGAAAGAGGTGTAATGGATCTATGAACAATCACATCTTTGGCAGGCTAAAGGGTCTGTACTTAGGACTAGCATTCCATGTTTGCAGAACTGTGATACAATTTTAGAATCTTGATATGTCAGCTATATAGATGACT